GGCCGCAGCGGGATCCTTGGGTCCACCGTTGTCCAATCCTTGAAGCAGATGCTGTAATCCCTGCTGAACGACTCTCGATTGCCTTCCTTGCTGTGCCTGTTGTCCTCCGGCCCATCTCTGCCGTCCCACTTGATGAAGGCTATCTTGCCCCCACTGTCGCCACCCAGCCAGTCCTCTGAAAATTGCTGAATTTTGCATTTTATGTCCTTTTGTGTCTGAAGCATGTCGAGTTTATCTTTAACCTTCTGCCATTGTGCCCTGAGCTCCTGATGAACAAATTCTTTCAATATTTCTGTCATTTCCTCCCCAGCTATACGGACCCCCTCCATGGTGTGTATGCAACGTCTCCTCCATGTGTTCTACAAACTAGAATTAGTAAAAACAATCAAAGTACACGTCATCCACAGGGCAGGAGTGAGGTCCCACTTGCGCGGACAGTAACAGTACCAATATCTTTTTTTTTTTTTTTTTTTTTATTATTAATTTATTTTAAAGTTTAAACCAATATCTACAAGTCGTCGTTTCCAGATACGATCGTTTGTTAACATTTCTTCTACTTCGTCTATACGAGAAGCAAATTGCTGTGAAAATACTAAAATAGAAAAAGATCTTCGCTTAAACCCCCCAAGGGTAAATCATGTTCGTCTTTGCTGTCGATGGATGTCTGAGTGGTTGAAGGTATCAGTCTTGAAAACTGACATGTTACGAAATATTGGGGGTTCGAATGCCTCTCCATCCTTTAATGTATGTTAATTTACAGATAATGAATTCAGTGTAGTGGTGGGTGCCACAAGATCTCTTCGATATCAACGTCTTCAGATAAGGACAGGAGCGCAGAGGCTAGGCAGCGAGTTTTACCGTTGAGTTAAACTCAGTCAATAGATGCGGGCGCCTTCGGCCTTATCTATCTACTTCTGTTTGTCATAATCGACGGTCAAGACGAAGAGTGAATGATCCGGGCAAGTGAGACGTCACCCCAGGTGCTTGAACCTCTTTCCTTTTTTCTCAAGGGACATCTGATTCTACTCTTTTTCTTATTATTATTCTTTCTTGGAAAAAAAACGCTGCGCAGGTCGCTAGCAAGGGTGATACGAGCACCCCTCACGAGCGCCTTGGCTTGGCGGCGGTTCCGACCCACAATCTATTGGTGGGGACTTGGGAACTTCACCTCCTGGAAACCTGGTCCAGCGTCCCAAAGGAAAACACAGTCCTCACTCTAAACTTACGGCCTGCTTACACACAATTAGGATTGTCACTGCCGAGGCACATATGGTTCAGGTGTCACGGACGCGTGTACTTGTGTTTGGGTCAGGCGAACGATACTTGAAGAGTGGGCATCGCACTGCCGAGGCACATGGTTCAGGTGTGTACTTGTATTTGGGTCAGGTGATCGATACTCGAAGAGTGGGCATCGCACTGCCAAGGCACATATGGTTCAGGTGTGTACTTGTATTCGGGTCAGGCAATCGATACTCGAAGCGTGGGCATCGCACTGCGGAGGCACATATGGTTCAGGTGTGTACTTGTATTTGGGTCAGGCGATCGATACTCGACAAGTGGGCAGATATGCCAAGCATGTGTTGGGGAGCACGGGGTAAAAGAAAGAGGAAAAGACAAGACCCGCAGACATCCATATGTGAGCCACGCGGTGACGAGGTGGGTGGGGAAGGAATAGAGACGACAGTGGGGGGGGGGGGGGGGGGGGGGGGGGGGGGTCGGGGAGGGGAAGAGATCCAAAAACGAGACATGTACATATCTGAGCCACACAATGAATGAAAATTGGAAATGACAAACAAGAAAAAGTAAAGGAAAATTTTTTGAATGCCCCTCGACTTCCATTTATTTGCGGTATGCCCCTCTGATGGCCAACTTACCCTGTCATGCCCCTCTGACTAAATCGAAGTTTCCGAAAAGCCCCTGGTGTCGTTTGGGCCTGAAATATGTTCAATATCCGCCTACCGGAATCAGTTCCAAATTTCCAGTATGACCCCGTAGCTTGCCTTCCAGGGCCATGGGAACGGCCGCAAGTGCCACCAACGGCCACAGGGGCATGCTGGAAAGTTGCACCCCTCAGTGACAGGGGCGTGCAGGAAACTTCCGAGACCCCAGGGGCACGACAGGGAAAGTCGGCCGTTGGAGAGGCGTACCGCAAATAAATGGAAGCTGGAGGGGCATTTCGAAAAAAATCCAAAAGAAAAAGACAAACATACATACGTGAGCCAGAGGGTGAAAAACAAAGGAAAAGGGAAATGAGAAACATACATATGTGAGTCAGAGGGTGGGGGGAAAAGGAAAAAGGAAATGGATATGTCGGCCTCGTTGTGTGCACCCATGAGCTTTCAAAATACAAACCCAAGTTTTAAATCCAGATGCAGTCAACGACACGAAGGTAGAGAATCTAGAGATCCTCGCTACCGCTGACCACATGCACAAAGCAGAAAAATGACACCGAGTTATGTTTCAATGTCCTGGTGGAAGATCATTCTCATTTTGCACATTTTTTGGTTAAGGGATATAGCCAAGCTCACAAGAGAGCCCCAGGGCCATGTCCGAGTAGCAACCATTGATTTGAGCTAGCTTGACGGTGTGATCCTTATCAGGCGTTTTTTAAATCTTGTAAGTTATAAAGTGCGTAAATTATTTTTTTAATTGAGATGCAGCATTCTTGTTCGCCAAAAAAAGAGAAAATTCTCTATGGTGGTCCATGTCATATATGCCGCCTCTGAAGGTAGTTTCAGCAAATCGTGGAGTCTTGGGGGAAGACCTGACAAATTGACAATTCAGCTTGACCGTAATCATTTCAGCAAATCGTGGAGTCTTGGGGGAGGACCCCACAAAGACCATTTTTTTTTGTTTTGTTTTGTTTTCTTTGTTGTTTTTGAGAAGTCGTGTAATCTGATGTTTTCTTTGTTGTTTTTATGAAGTTGTTGGCAGGTTTTTATGAAGTTGTTGGCAGGTTTTCATTCACGAAGACAGATTCCCACCAAGTGGCACCTCCAATTCTCGTCGCGCCAGCAATTTGATGGACCAATATTTGAGGAATCTGTATCGTTATGTGTCACTTTTGCACACAATCTAGGCCGTTCATTTGCTGTCAATCCCGTGCAAGGCTCTACATTAACAGCAGATGGGCCACTTGTGGAGACGGCAGTGAAGACCAAACCCCTGCCACACGATCACCAGGGTGGGCCCCGCCGATTAACCTGAGGGGAAAAAAAAATAGTGCAACATAAAGTCACGCAATCACATAGCACAATTGTTATGCATTTGACCGCACCCACCCTTGCCAGATGCACTGCTTGTTGATCCCTCGTCGGTGGCAACAGTTGTGGGAATCAACGACCCAAATGCTAACATAACAGGGAAGGCGGTTTTTTTTCTTTTTTTTTTTCTTTTTTTCTTTTGAAGACCAAGCTCCATCTATTGGTGGGGAGCAGCACCTGCTGGAAACCGGGTCCAGCGTCCCATAGATACAACCATATCCTCACAAATTGGCACAAACTGGGAACCGGGCCCAGAGGCGGATTGTGTTGATGTCAGGTAATAATTTGGGTAACAATCGCGCTCCTTCCTGTTCCCTACAAGCTGGTTGGGAAAACAATGACAAATAGGTTGCTGCTGATGATGAATCTGCTGACAGGCTTCATGCCCATCCGGAAAATACAAGATAACATCCTGCTAGTCAACGAGACCATTAAGTACACCCGCCAGCGCAAAGTCCAAGCGGCGATACTTCTCATAGACTTTGAAAAACCGATGCCTGACAAAAATGAATATCGGGCCAGAATTCAGCAACTGGGTGCAGCTCCTTCACCGGTCGGCTTCAACCATCATCATGTTGAATGGCCACGTAGCATCGCCCATAGCCCTGCAGAGATCGGTGCGTCAGGGAGACCCGATAGCGCCCTTGCTCTGTCATTGTAATAGAGGCCCTAGCATCACTAATTAGTTCACATCCCCGTATCCACAAAGTGCCTATCCCAGACCTGCCGGACCACCTCATCCCGATAACGTTGCTATTTGCGGACGACCTTTTTTTTTTTTTTGGGGGGGGGGGGGGGGGGGACAACATGCTCCAATCTATTTGTGGGGAGCAGGGCCAGCGTCCCATATGAAAATACACAAGTATTAAAGCACCGGGGCCATTACCCGGCTTCGACTGAGAAAAATCTGACAACAAATTGCACCAAGTACTAATGGAACAGCCTCGGCGGTGCTGATTCGAGCTGATGAGGAGAGCCTCCAAAAGCTGATGAAAGCGATTCAACTCTTCTCGCTTGCAACAGATATGAAGGTCGATTGGGTTGCCAAAACGGAGGGATGGTGGCTGCACCAACAGGGAGAGGGCCCCCCACCACAACCGCAAGTCTTATGGGCAGCAAAAGAGACAGCAATCAGGATCTTGGGAGTGAAATTGACAGCACTCAGACCCCCAAGCGACCATGGGGACAACCTGCACACCTCGCTGGTTGGCAGAACACTGACTATCAACAACGCCATCCTGGTAGCAATCTGGTACAAACTTGCAGTATGACCACTCAGCCAAAAGCAATATGCAAGACTCAAGAAAGCCTCGACAACCTACCTATGGAAAAACATCGCAAACACCGAGTAAGATGGGACGTACTCACTCAGTCAAGATCCAAAGATGGTCCAGGAATCCTCGACCCTGAGAATGAAAGCAAAACCCTCATATTCAAAGTGTTGGTGAGACTCCCTTACCGGTAATGACATCCCATGGGGGCCATTGGCCTGCCTACAGATCACAAACTTCGCCCCGGAGTCGCCAGACGACACCAGGGTGCACCCCCTTCAGTGGCTGACCAATGCACACTGGTCCATACCCTCCCCGGCATGCCAAGGGCCAACACAAAACCTGGCCCACGCCACCAAACAGGACATATCTAACGACCCGTTGTGGCCATATATGATTGGTCTCTGGAGGCGGGTTGGGCCGAAGCAAAAACAACCTCCCAACAGGCGTCAACTGCTGTTTGGCAACCCCCACATACTGGATGAGGCAGGCAAACCCTTCCCGCTGACGACGAACTTGCCATGGGTCACTTGGGTTAAAAAGGGTATATACACGATCGGGAGACTGTGGGACCTACGGACCGGGGATTGGGTCACGCCTGCTCAGCCTCAAGAACAACTCAAGTATGCCAAAAATGTGGACAACAAACTACAACAGGTTCAAGAAGACACTTGCCCTGAAAAAAAGGGGCTAGATGTGCAGCAGGAGATTGGGTGGTCAAGCTTGCAGACCTGCCCCTGCCTTTGTTGATCTACAGAGTGCAGACAAATGACCAGGGAGACTGCACTCTGGAAGCTCACGAGCCCGAGCTGTCGGGGGCGAGACTGACAAAGCTGACACAGAACGCCGGCCTGGACTGTGACGAAAAACGGGAAGGACTGATGAACATAAGAGTAGTGGGAGATAAGAAAGAGGGCCTCTTCGCCTATGAAGCCTCAACTCGATCGAGGCCTTACCTTTTTATCCGCCTGAGTGGGAATGGACGATCGGGAAACCCATGCATATATGGGATTACACCGTTCGAGGGGGGTACAGGGATTCGAGACCGACACTCCCTGTTCGCCACACCATAACCGCAAGATGGGCTTGGGACTCACCAATAGACCGGACCCTCCTGCACAACCTCCCCTGGCCCAAATATGCCAAAATAATATCCACCAACCTCCGCTCGTTGCAGTGGCAGATCCTGCACTGATGCCTCCCCACACTGGATTGGCTCGTGTCCAGAACCAACTTGGAACAGAAAGG